GCACTTTTAACATCCATCTGATACAGAGTGATGTTATTTTGTGCAGCAAAGGAAATAAGAAGGCGTATAGATTCTAACCTTGCCACTAGAGCATATGTCTCAGTGTAATCAATACCTTCTTGCTGACTGTACCCTTGAGCAACCAGCCTTGCCTTATTCCTCTCAACTTCTCCTTTCTCATTTAGCTTATTTCTGAAGACCCATTTTGTACCAATTATATTGAATCCTTGAGGTCTTTGAACTAGATCCCATACATCATTCCTGCTAAATTGATTTAGCTCTTCTTGCATGACAATAATCCAATCATTGTCTTGCAGAGCTTCTTCTACAGAAGATGGTTCAATTTCTGACACTAGTCCAAATAGTGATGCTTCAGATGATCTTAGAAAGGATCTTGTTCTGATGGGATCATCCTTCTTTCCAATAATGACATCCTCTGGATGAGAAGCTTTAATTCTGGATGATGATCCTCTAATAGTTGACTCTTCAGAAATGTTAAGATTATTCATCTGAGAAGTTAAAGGAGTAGCATCTGGAGTTGCTTCTGGTTCCTTTACTTGAATTTTGTCTGCTTCTGGAACTTCAGAGTCAATAAAGACTACTTCCCTATCTGCAGAGTTATCAACCTGCTTTGCCTTTTCAGAGCCAAGCTTATCATCAAATCTGACATGAATGGATTCTTCCACAATCTGTGTCTCAGTGTTGTATACTCTGTAGCCTTTAGAGCGTTCAGAATATCCAAGCATGAAACACTTCTGTGCTTTGGAATCAAACTTGCTCAGATTTTCCTTAGTGTTTAACATATAGCAAATACATCCAAAAGGATGAAAATAAGAAATGTTGGGCTTTTTGTTCTTCCACAGTTCATAAGGAGTCTTCTTCAGAAGAGGTCTAACAGACACTCTGTTCTGAATGTAACATGCTGTATTGATTGCTTCTGCCCAAAAATGTTTTGCCAGGTTTATCTCATTGATCATGGTTCTGGCCATTTCTTGCAAAGTTATGTTTTTCCTCTCTACAACCCCATTCTGTTGTGGAGTTCTAGGACAGGAAAAATCATGAGCAATGCCATTTTCAGAAAAATATTTTTCAAAAAATTTATTTTCAAATTCACCACCATGATCACTTCTGACTTTTATAATTTTGAAATTCTTTTCATTCTGGACTTGCTTGCAGAAGTCAAAGAACACAGAATGTGACTCATCCTTGTGTTTTAAGAACTTTACCCATGTCCATCTACTAAAGTCATCAATAATGACTAATCCATACTTCTTGCCTCTGATGGATGCAGTTTTCACTGGTCCAAACAGATCAATATGAAGTAGTTCTAGTGGTTTAGAAGTAGAAACAACATTTTTTGATTTGAAAGATGTTTTTGAAAACCTCCCTTTCTGGCATGCTTCACAAAGAGCATCTGAAGTGAACTTCAGATTAGGGAGTCCTCTGACAAGATTAAGTTTATTAATCTGAGATATACGTCTCATATTAATATGGCCCAATCTTCTGTGCCAGACCCATTGCTCTTCATTAACAGACAAGAGGCATTTAACATTTTGAACTTTAAGTTCTGAAAGATTTATTTTATAAATGTTGTTTTTCCTCTTACCACTAAATAGGATAGAGCCATCCTTTTGACTAATAGCTTTACAACATTTTTGATTAAAGGTAATATCATAACCATTGTCACTTAATTGACTTATGGACAATAAGTTATGCTTTAACCCTTCAACAAGTAAAACATTAGTAATAGAGGGAAGTTTACCATTTCCAATAGTGCCAGATCCAATGATCTTGCCCTTCTGGTTCCCTCCAAACTTCACGTCACCTCCAGATCTAAGTTCCAGGCTTTGGAACATAGACTTTTCTCCTGTCATGTGTCGTGAGCATCCAGAGTCCAGGTACCATGATTGGTGTCCTGACCTTGCTGCTAAGAACATCTGCAACAATAATTATTTTGTTTTTAGGTACCCAGATCTTCTTTGGTCCTTTGGGGTTAGTTGGTTTGTAGGTTTGTCTAAACTTCTGTTTTTCAACATAATGTTTATTCTGACTTGCCTTGGGTTTAAACACATAAGTATTCTTCTCAGAGCTTGTGTGTTTAATGTCATTTAAGTGACCAAATTTAAATTGAGAATACAAAGGTGTCTTCTTGATGAAAAGTTTGTCAACAGGTTTTGGATTGCTTCTAGATGAAGATTCATATCCAATACCTCTTCTGTTGTTTCCACTAACACCATAGATCATAGAAGCCATCTTGCTTCTGTCTATGCTCTTAGTAAGAAATCTCTGAAAGCTAGAGTCATATTTTTCTAAAATATTTTCACATGACTTAGTCTCAGATTCAGATTCTTGTTGAGTTATTTCAAAGCCATTTTTGATTTTCACATTTATTTCTTTTTGCTCAATAAGTTCTGCCTTCAGAAGATCAATCTCAGATTCAAGATTGCTTTTCAGCTTCTTGTATTTGAGTTTGATATTGTTATAACTTTTAAGAACTTCTGTTAAAACTTTTATGAGTTCTTCTTTGGTAAGTTTAGCCATTACCTCTTCTGCGTCATCATCAGATTCAGAATCTGATTCATATCCTAAGGTCCCTTCCTCTTGATCCTCTGTGCTGGCCATCAGTGCAACATTGGCACATTCTTCTTCTGATTCAGAAGATGATTCAGATTCATCTGAGTCATCCCATGTTGCCATCAGAACCTTCTTCTTTTTGTTAAACTTCTTCTTAGGTTTTTCTTTCTGAAGTTTGGGGAAATCATTCTTGTAGTGCCCAGGTTCTTTGCACTCATAGCACACAACTTCTTTCTTGGCAGATCTTCTGTGTCCAGAAGATTCCTTTCTATTATCAGATATTCTGAAGTTGTTGAACTTCTTTCCCTTGTGCTTCCAGAGTTTGTTGATCCTTCTGGACAGCATGGATAACTCATCTTCTTCTTCAGAAGAAGATTCTTCAGAGCTTTCTTGAATGACCTGCAAAGCTTTAGCAGTTTTGTTAGATTTTAATGCAAAAGATTTACCTTTTTCTTTCTTCTGAGGTTCATCTTCCTCAAGCTCAATCTCATGGCTCCTCAGTGAGCTGATGAGTTCTTCTAGAGAGATCTTGTTCAGATCTTTAGCCATCTTCAAGGCAGTCACCATTGGTCTCCATCTGGTAGGCAGACTTCTGATGATTTTCTTTACGTGATCTGATGTAGAGTATCCCTTGTCCAGAACTTTCAGCCCAACAGTGAGTATCTAAAATCTGGAGAGCATGGCTTCAACAGATTCAGAGTCTTCCATTTTGAAGGCCTCATACTTCTGGATCAGAGCCAGAGCTTTTGTCTCCTTAACTTGAGAATTTCCCTCATGAGTCATTTTTAGGGATTCAAACATATCAAAAGCAGTTTCCCTGTTTGTAATTTTCTCATACTCTGTATGTGAAATTGCATTCAATAATATAGTCCTGGCTTTGTGGTGATTTCTGAAATCTTTCTTCTGAGCATCTGTCATAGATTTTCTGTCAATCTTCTTGCCATTCCCATCTGTGGGATGGACATATCCATCTATGACTAGATCCCATAGATCAGCATCATATTCTAGGAAAAAACTCTCAATTCTGTCTTTCCAATAGTCAAATTTCTCCCCATCAAACATTGGGGGTTTGGTGCTGATCCTATCCCTTTCTTCATATTTATTGTTAATATTGGATGTTGAATTATCAGTCATTGTAACAAATAAATATATATCAAAGTATTTCTCTCTGGATCTTTACTGACACTGTTAAGTGGTAGCACACTCAGAACCGGAGCTCTGATGCCAACTGAAGGTGAGATAATACTTAGAAGGGGGCTTGAATAAGTATGAAAGATTAAGACTTAAAAAAAATAATCACACAATTATTTTTATCCTGGTTCGTTTAAACAACTACTCCAGTCCACCCTTCCTAGAGTGATTTGCCTTTCTCAACAAGGACTTAATCCACTATTAAATCAAACTGATTACAATAGTAACACCTAAGAACAACTGTATTTAGTCTTCTCAAGAGCTACTGATTCCAACTGAATCCTCTTAAGGAAATCCTTTACAATCAATGTAAATTAAATACAAGAGTATTAATGCTTCTATAAAGCTTTTATCACAACAGTGATTTTTCTCTTAAGTTTAAGTACAAGAAATTCTAAGAAGAATATGAAAGAATGAGAGCTTAGAATAATATAATTTCTTTTCAGCAAATTGTGTGTTACTGAAGAATGTGGTGGAGTTCTCCTTTTATAGGCAGCTGATCCAAGGATGCTGAGCGTTGAAAAGAGAGTCCCAAAAAGGTCTGAGCCTTTTTGTCTTCACATCAAGTGACCTTTCCTTGAAGTAGATAACACAGAAAAATCCTTTTTGCCTGTGTAATTGTGTCTAGCACAAAAGAGGAAAGAGACATTGATTAACTCCAACGGATATATTCTTGAATATTTCTTCTTCAGTTTTCAGCAAGTTCTTCAGAGTCTGAATGGATCAGAGTCTTCTAATGATATTCAGAACTTTGTTGTATCAGAGTCTTCTGCAGCATGTGTGCTTTCAGCGTGTTGATCATCAGAGCATATTTGACACAGAACTTCAGTACTTGGCAGCGTTAGTACTTTCAGAAACTTCTGTAGAATTATGCTTTGAGAAATTCTTCAAACAATATTCTTCTTTGCTTTAGATGCTTCAGCTTCAGATGCTTCTGACTATCTTCAGATGCTTCTGACTCAGAATGTTCTGGAGCTTCTTGCTACAGATCCTTCTGGAGACTACGCTCAGGATCTTCTGTAAAGAGCAATCAGAATCTTCTGTAAGATGCATCTGGCGCTTCAGAGTCAGGATAACTTCTTGTATACAATACAGATTTGCTTCTAGAGAGTTAATTTCATTTCAATCTGCAGTAAAACTCTCAAACAAATTTTAGAGTATATAATTCTTAAATATAAAATTTCCTAACAGTTACCATCAAAACAAAGAGTTATTATTAAGAACCAATCTGTGTTCTAACAGGGTTGGGGTTGATATTGTGGGGTGTACTGGGGGTAGTTGTAGTTATAGTTATATTGAGCTGACGAGGATGAGTACCCCCCAAATTGAGAGGTTTGGGTTGGTGGGACATGCTGATGCATTGATGTGGTAGTTTGTTGTGTCGATGATGATGCTTGCGTCTGTGGGTCGGTCAAAAATTGATCTGGAGCAACATGCACATAAGGAATTGCGTGGAACCAAGTTAAATACTCTTGACTTGGTTTGCGTTCACCAAATACAGCGCCCCCTTGCAAAATCACATCTCTTCTGTGTCTCCATTCTCGCACCTCGTCCTTGTTTAACTGTTGCCAATAAACTTTTTGCGCTTTTCGCATGGTAATTGCGTGGTGTTCCTTCAAGCACCTAGGAAATGGAGGGATCTGTTGGTCAAATCCAAACTGGAGTGTTACCCTATCTGATTGATGCATCTCAACGATGTAGAAACAAACAAGGTAAGTTGTTGCACTCCAGATTTGGCTTTCTTCTAGACGCGGCACTAGGTACTGAATGTACGACCTCCATATAAACTGTCACATAACAAATAAAATTAAGATAACATTAAATTGAAGAACCGACCACTAGTTTCAATTAGTTTAAAACTTACATCTTTTTCTTGCATATGGTCCAACGCGTTTCGATATCCTTGGAGATGGAAACGAGGAGTTGCACGGTAATTCATTCCCCTTTGTGTCCACCTTGTGTAACCAAAAATAAATTAATATTGTTAGACATAGTTGAATAACAAATATATATATTACGTACATAAATATGAGTGTTACAAAAATACCTTTGTGCATATGGAAACGATGGTTCCACAGTGTTGATAGGAGAGAACAATGGGATGCGTGTGAATGCCCAAGAAGTTAGTAGGAGAGCACAACCACTCATGCTCCTAACATCTTTTTCTGCTGCCTTGTGTCGCTTCCGCGAAAATAAGGTGCCGGCAAAACAGAAGAGTCGCCACCTTTCGTTATTTATCCCTCAGAACGGGAAAGGAAACGATCGGAAAAACCTGACGAAAAGGTATAAGACAAGGTCATCGCAACCGTTGTCTGGGTTCGGGAGTCGGTTACACAAGGGGAAGGTATTAGCACCCCTCACGTCCGTCGTACTCGACGGGATCCACGCTTGTTGTGTTTACTGGACAAGTTGGTTTATCTATCTACCTATCAAGGCTGGCTTAAACAGAAAAGAAAATGACTCGGCAAAGCGTCGCGCTTTATGCCTACGTATTCCCATCAGAGAATAAGAAATCAGAGTCAACGTAGTTCGACTAACTACTGGTTAAGGGGAAGGTAGCTCACCAATACATCAGTATTGTGCCTACGCACTCTCAACAGATATGAGAGATCAGAGCTTACGTAGTTCGGGCTAATACGGATTACGGGAATTCAGATTCATCTGTTTTATCGAGTAGGGTTAAACAGCAATTCCAGCAGTTAGGGACAAAGCCTGTTTGCGGTAGAACTGGAGTTTAACGACACTCTTTTCTTCAGAAAATCTTCCTTTGAATTATGGGCCCACGGGGCAAAAAGGTTTGAAGTTTGTTTTCTGTATTTTACGGAAGAAGTGTTTTTTATTGTGTTTTGCAATTTCAATTGCACTAGAGACTATGACCTGAGAGTGAATGCGTCGCATGTCACCCAAAGGGTGCCATACTAAACATTCAGACTGTTGAAAAGAAGCTCTCCAACAATCCTTTCTCAGATAGCTTAAGGCTCGTAACGTACGAAAGAAATCATTCATGATTACTGTATTTTAAATTGTTTTGAGATGAGAAGAGAACAGGCTTAACTAATGGGAGACTATCAAGTCCTACTATTATCATGCAAAGGATTCATCCTATGGTTGAGGTTTGAAGCAGGGAACTCCTAGAAGTTATCATGCTTAGGTTTCAACCTAAAGTTCTATCATCACTTCCTTATCAAAGGGAGTGAGAGTCCTAAGGGATCATGTCAATGATACACAGAAACAGATAAAGCATCAGCTTAAACAGTAAACAGTAAACGACCGTAAAATGCATGCAATGCAAGTGAGGGAGGAAATGTGTGTGGGGCAGCAGCCTCCACAAGCTCATCTCAACCTCAAGCTAGATATGAATAACTGTAATCATACAGAAGAAATAACATAAAGTGTTGTCAAGCAAAATATCAGTAAACTGCAATCATACAGATAAAATGGAATGCTATCAAGCAAGACAAAACCACATGGGCAAGGGAGCTGAGCTCTACCGAATACCCGCAAGCAAAGCCATACAGTAACAATACAAGCAGAGGGAGCAACTCAACCTCTAGTGCAATCATGCTCCTAGATTAAAGTTAGTCTAATCATGGACTTATTCTAATGCATCAAACAAGTCAAACAAGGTACATCAGCCCAGAAAAGAAAACAAACAAGAAAGCAGCAGATCAACCCTTCTCTCTCAATTCCAAGCTTTAGCTCTTCTGACAGTAATCCAGTCTTCAGACTTCAATTACCCTTCATGACAAATATCAACTTGCTTCTCCAGGTTTCAACACCTCAACATAAGTATTAACTTGTTCTCTCTTCCTTGAGCTTCAGCTTCTCAGTCAATTCCACCTTCAGGCTTCACTCTTAACTGCAAGTATCAACTTGATTCCTTCAGGCCCTCCAAGCATCAATGTACAAGTATCAACTTGTCCTTTGGTCCTCAAGCCTCAGCTCTACACTCAATCTCAACTGAATCCTCAAGTAAGTATCAACTCAGTCTTCAAGCTTCTCAAGCTTTCTATGCTTTGCCAGTCTCAACTTGGTCTTCTCCTCTTACAAGCTTCAGCTTCTCAGAGTAATCTTCAATCACTTGGAAGTGTCAACTTCATCCTTCAGTCTTTAAGCTTCAGCTCTTCATTCAATATCCCTTGGGTCTTCAAGTATCAACTTGTTCTTCTTTCTCTTCAAGCTTCAGCTGCAATGGCAATGCTCAGGGAATCATCCTCTTCCACCCTCTTCAATGAAGTCTTCATCTTCAAACTCAAGTCCAACATCTTTCAAGATACTCAAACCATAAGACCATTGATTTAACAGAGTGAGAGGAAATGATAAACAGCTTACTGACAACCAAAGGAAGCTTGTAAGGGTTCATCATTATGAGAGACTGGTTCCCTCAAAGTTCTACTTCCCAGATAAAGCCACTCATCCTTCCAAAGGAGGGATGTGAATATATGAGAAGGACTTTTAGTCATTGGGAGGAATGGAAGCACAAGATGCTTTCCATGTTTGAGAAAGAAATCATTCTAACTACAAGGCTCTCCCTATGTCCTATCTCCTAATCTTCACCAGGTACCTTCAGGCACAAACAATCCAAAGCTCCAAGCAACTTCAAGCAACCCCAAGCCTCCTCACCTTGTCTTCAACTTATCTTCAATCCCAACCAAAGGCAAACCAAGCACAAACCCTAATCTAAGGGAATTAAAGGAGTTAAACTAGTTGAATTAGTAAATTAGGATCACCTAAAACCTAGTACTAAAGTTAGTCCTAACTAAAATACTAGAATCAATTGTAAAATCCTACAAAAATTACTATGGGAACCTAGGTCAATCATGACTCTACCACATTAGTTTCAAAGATCAAATCATCAAATTGGACCTAGAACTAAATCCTACATTACAAGGTATCAAACCTAAAACCCTAAAAGGAGGCACCTAAACATCAATCTAGAAAGCACACCTATTTTCATCACAAAAATGTGATAAAAATTCTATGGGATCATACATGTCTAACCTAATCACACATAAACAATTAGGCCAAGAATCATCACCATGAGATCAAACAAAATTCTACAAAAATATGCATCAAACATAAACATTTTAATATCAATTAAAATACAAAATTCCAATTAAATCAGAAATTACATGAAATGAAAATATTTTTTCTCTAAAAATTAATAGACTCAATCATGAGTATTATGCAAAAAGAATGGGTTGAATTGGATTAATTTTCAATTAATTATGATTTTTGCAAGAACCATAAACAAAATGAAAAAAATAAGAAAATCCAAATAAAATGAATAAGAGCGAGGTGCAGGAAGTAAACATTTCCAGTTAAAAACATGGGTTGGGCTTGCTGGGGGGTGTGGATAACACTTATTCACTAAGCCCAAAACGTCTGAGTTAATGAAACGCAGCGTTTCCTTTAGAAATCCTTCACAAGTCAGAATTAAAACGTGGCCCTTGGATCTTCTCCCAGTCAATGGTCAATCCATCATCCAATGGTGAGAACTTCATCTTTTCCATTTCAAAGCTCTGAGCTTCGCGCCCAGCTCCGGCCACCGCCGGTGGAGCTCCGATCGTCCCCTTCAACCCTAGTTCTTCCTAGAGGCCTCCAATCCAAGAGGTCAAAACATGAAACACACTCCAAATCTTGCCACGAACTCAACCATGCCATTAGTTTCTTCTGAAACCCCAAGAATCATCATCTCCCAATCTCAACCGAAAATGGTGATCTTCCTATTTTGTCTCTAATTCAACAATTAACCATCTAAAATCCATCCTAGGCCATTCTACAACTAATCTAGCACCCTAATTCAACCGAATTCTACCTAAATCATGCTATAGGAAGAGGGTTACAAACCTGGAAATTCTTGAATAACAGATGCACGAAATCTTCACTTCAAGCTCTCAAATCTTCTGGACACGATCACTGAACTTCCTCCTTGCTTCTGTATGCAAAAGATTCAATGGGAAGTGCTTCAATCTTGAAACACGATGAAGAGTTGCAGGTGCTGAAAATCACTTGTTCCCACACGATCTAGCCACCAATTCTTCTTGGAAATCATCTGGAATCAATCCTTGATACTCATGGAAGAAGACTCAATCAAGAAAATGGAAGGAAATGGAGGAATTTGATGAAACCGATTTCAATTGCAATCTATGAAAACTCAATTCCAAACTATGCTCAAACCTTCAATGATCACCAACCTCTGCCATGGATTCATTCTACTCAATATATAGATGGAGTTTGGATGATCTAGAACCCTCTAGATCCTTCCAATGAGATTTTACACATCTCATGTCATGAGATTTTGAATCACTTATCATGACATGTACACCCCTTGAAAACAGCTTGGAATTCATCCCATTCACTCTTAATTTCTCCCCTAGTGAGATATTAGAGGTGTTTAGCTTGCCAAGTTCCTTGTTCATGCCTTAATCTTGAGTTATGCATATGTTACTTAATATGCAAGCAAGTGTTTTCCAAAGCAAGTCTATGATTTAGACCTCAAATCAAAAATGTGGCTAAACCATTGTTTTCAAAATGTTTTCTAGAGTCAAAATGATATATTACATGCCATGGTTTGGATGTGTAGGTTGAAAATATCAATTTCCAACTTTGACTTATTTAACTTATGTCCTTATTTTAGGTCATTTTTGCAACTTTGAGCTACAAGCCTTTCCACCATCTCATAACCTCCTTACTAGCCTTAAAACATCATTTTAAGCAAGTTTGATGTTTAAGATTTTTCCATTTGAAGCTTGGAAATAGGAGTTATGGCCTTATACTTGAAATGACCTGTAATCTCCAAATGACCAAAATGCCCTTGACTTGTCAAAGCCATAACTTGAGTTCTACAAATCCTATCAAGGACTTCTAGTACTCTCTAGAAAGCTAAGAAGATAAGGAACAACATTCATGTTGACCAAAAGTTCATAGGAATCATCCTTCTTGGGCAAAAGTTTGATGCAAGTGGGGTAACCTTCAAGGCCCCAGATTCACATACCTCAGATGACCTGTAACTTGTCAAAGTCATAACTTGAGTTCTACAAATCCTATCAAGGACTTCTAGTACTCAAATTAAAGCTAAGAACAAGCTCTACAACATTCATGTTGGGTGAAAGATGAGATGACAATCACATCTTAGGCTAAACTGC